ACTCACCTGCGCATGCCAACCACGGCTTACTACGAATCCAGTCAATACCTCGATGAGGCTTTGATTTAAAACAGAATGCACTGACAAGAGCATATATTGATAATGTCGTGAAGCTGACCACAAAGTTTGGGGTGAAACGCTCAGCATTCTCTCCGAGACCGTCCTAAAAACAGATAAATCGTAACTGTCGAAACGTATGTGAACTTTGAGCGATATTTGTTGAATTACAGTTCACTGGGTCAAACGCGCACTGTGGTCCGGACTAACCTGAAGCGACTGGTAATGTGCGAAGGAGACCGAAATCAAGTTTGATTTGTAGTAGTGCAGAAAGAATCTCTCCACGGCGTAGGAGAAATCCGAGGAATAGCGTCGAACGATGGATTGCTCTTGTTTCAGAAAGTAAAACAGTTGCGTGATTTTAGCACTTTTGACAGTGTTGTTCTCTCGAAATACTTCAACATCTCCAAAAATTGTTCCAAGATAGACTGGAGTATCCTGAAAGATATACAATGAGAGATATTGAGTTAGATCAAGTACTCTCAGAAGTACATAGAAGCAAAGACTACTTTGTTCCCTCCTCGAGGGTAGGAGAGGTCAAGAAAGTGGCCAATTCTATTTCTTTCGAGCAGCATCTCAATGTGTTCATTCCCACCACAGACCCAGTCATAGCTGAGACAGAGGTCCTAGAATCAGTATTATAGAGTAGACAAGTGCAAAGGCGACGTATATCGCTATTACCTGATAAGTCAGGTTGAAGCGCCCATCATCAGTGGGAACGCTTATGTTGTTAGATATCCAGCGGTTCAGAACCTGGATCTCCTTTAGCACTTCCTCCCTTAGTATCGAACCACCGTCACGAGCTCGAATCAAGACATTCACAAATCTTTTTGTCTCAAAAGACTTCCCAGGAAGGAACTTATTCTCATTCAAAGGCCAATTTTCTGAGAAGGATTTGAGTTCCTTACGCCACCTGCAAGAGGATTTTGTGTGAATAAATCTCAATAAAGTCATGTTTGGATAGTGGATAAACAAAGGATGATAAATCATCATACAGATTCGAGAAACCAGTTTTCGATAAGCGCAAAAAAGTGATGCGAAGTGGACGAACCGTGCGTCAGATGGTGTGAATACGTAGGCTGGATCGTCGACCCGCAATGTGGACAACCGCAGGAATCCGAATGAAAGGCCGACTGTAAGGAAAAGTGGAAGAATGAATAAGGGCCACCGGAATCGATATGATATAGGTCCCCAGGCTTCAAAGAATCGCCGAATTAGCGGCTCTAATGAGAGCACGCTCATTGATGTGATCTGTAATAGCTTTTTATCAATCGCAGCACATACAATAGTGCGGACGAAGTCTCAATATAATTAGTTTGTGTCGTGCAATCAACAGATGGATGTTTCAATAAATTCTAGAAAAAGCAAAGAGTGTATGCGAGTCATAAGAACTTCAAACAAGTACTGAGTTAATATAAGCGGAAAGTATTACGAGGAAAATGGAGATGGCGAATTGCGTGAATGGGGATTATGTACCATGCCTCGCAAGGAATGAACTTGACGGGAAGGATAGTCTATCGGATAGACTCTAGGATTCGCTTTCGTTTGATAAATCTCACTACCAATCTCAGCAAATTCAATCCTGAATTTTATAACCACTGTTTCGGTATGTACAATCCCAAAATTATCTGAGAGATGTTCGCGCCGGAAGCTAAGCATAATATGATGATTT